ACCTAACTGTATACTGGAATTTTCTTTTTTTTTACTAGTAATGGCAGCATTCAGCGACTTATAGCGGTACTGCGGTGGGCATTCTGACACTGGGAGGAACTGACCTGGTGTCACTGACATCCCCAGTGACACCAATACAGTGATCAGTGCTATTGCGTGGGTTTCCTCCGGGTACTCTGGTTTCCTCCCACACTCCAAAGACATGCTGGTAGGTTAATTGGCTCCTGTCTAAATTGGCCCTAGTATGTATATGTATGAATGTGAGTTAGGGACTTTAGATTGCACACCCCTTGAGGGTTAGGAACTGATGTGAATGTACAATATATATGTATGTAAAGCACTGCGTAAATTGATGACGCTATATAAGTACCTGAAATAAATAAATAATAAATAAAAAGCACTGACACTGTACTAATGGCACTGGGCATGATGGGGTTAACATATGGGGTGATCACTGTGTGCCTAGTGCTGTTTCACAATGGGGGGTTGTGTGTGTACTCCACTATAAGCACACGCCATACAAACCAGTGTTCAGGAGCTGACAGGTCTCTCCCCCGTTAGAGACACTCAGCGATCACTGGGTGCCGGTGAGTAATTAGCAGGCGGGACCCAGTGATTGACAGCCGAGGCCCGCGAATGCTGGCACGGGTAGGGTATGCTGGCGGCTCGCGCGCCCCCTATCTTGAACTGCAAAATCACGTATATATACGTGATTTTGTGCACCCATGCCGCCCTGTAACAGTATTTCTGCTATAGGGCGGCGCAGAACTGGTTAAAGAATTAGACGCTCTGGGATGTAACAACCAAGTATGCCAATATTTCTTCAACTTAAAGGTAAAGTGTTTATAGGCTAACGTTAATTCGCAGTGGGCTTGGGTGTTTAATCTTCTGATAGCACTAGATAGATTATGAGCATCGGTCGATTTCCAAAGCTTAGTTATAGTGAGTCTTGCTACTATCAATATATGAGTTACAATTGTTCTATATTGTGGAGGGTATATATTTAGGATAATTCCTAACAGAGCCATAGCAGGGGTAAGCTCTATTAATTTGCCTGAAAAAGTAGCTAAAAAGAAGGATACTGATTTCCAAAAGCTATGTAAATTCTTGCAGTGCCATAATTCAGTATATGATCAGGGCAGACTGACAACTCATGGGGCCCCCAGGCAATAGGGGATCATGGGGCCACTGTGTCCTTGCCCACACTCAAAAAAGCCTATAAAAAAAGTACCAGGGGCATCTCATGGGGCCCCCTACTGACCCCGGGCCTTTGGGCAGTGCCCGAGTGCTCAAATGGTCAGTCCGCCCCTGAATATGATATAATATGCCGAATTGCTCATTACATCTCCAGCAAATCGGGGATACAGATGGGTATATTTTTGAGCGTTTGTAAGGAGTTAGACACCATCTATTTAATATTTTCTGGGCATTGTCCCAGCGTTCAATACATGAAGAAGCCTTCCCAGTGATCAATATAGCATTTTGCCATTAGTCCCATGAGAAGGTTTGGGATAATTCTTTCTCCCATTTTTGCATGACCATCACCATTTGTGATCTATTTAGACTCTACATATAATGACATTTCCCCCTTCAGCACCTTATAGTGACCTTAGTTTCCTGTGATATATTGACAGGTTATAAATGGTCAGTCTGGGACCCCCAGGGAACACTGTTATCAATCATTCAATGTCTCTTCTAATGTTCATTGCCTACATGTGTGACCTGTTAATGGTGCTTTAAGTTTGAGGTTAGACATCCTTATGCAAAACAGGCTTCTGTGTTGAAATAGTGAAAATCCAATATCAGGCAATGAATTTTGCCAGAAAATGTAGATTAGGAAAAGAAAAAAAAATAGATTTTTCAGAGGTGATTGACAGGCGGTGAGGGAGGTGATGTGACGTAGCCTCACCGGCTGTTTTACCCTAATTTTTACCAAAAAAACGCGCTGAAACCACTTACATATCATGAGGTTGCAAGGTGTTTGTGACGCATCTCCATTCACTTGAATGGGTTGAGTTCAGTGGGCTTGCTGCCTGCTGATTGTGATATGTTGGATAATTTTTGCTGCAGCCATGAAGGGAAGCATGACAACCATGGCATGTACACACCATGTCATGGCAGCTTTGGGGGTACTAAAAATGTGGCTCAACCATGTGCTTTTAAGGTTCCTTACTGCATGTCTAAACTTAGCCTAAGGGCTCCTTTACACTTGAGATGGCCCTCCAAAGAGCAATCCAAGGTGGATCGCTTTTCAGAGGGTGCTTGACAGGCAGTGAGGAGGCATTATATCACCTCATTACTGCCTGTTTTAAACCCTAAAAGCCTGCACCACTCCGTCCATTGCCCCATTCATTTGAAATGGTGACAGCAGAGAGATATTTTTTTGCCAAGGCAGACCATTGCAGCTGCAGCATCTGTTTACATCCATACAGCTGCTTTTGCAGCTCAGCAGGAGTGTTTGGGGCAGTAAAAACACAGCTCAGCAGTGTTTTTATTGCCCTTCCCAGCATAAGTATAAACAAGCTGAAAGATAATTGTAATAATGTTATATGAATGTGTATTTCTATTTACTTTTTTATACTAGTTGTCCATTTTCATACATGTCACCTGCTTTAAATGGTTATTCATGAAAATATACGTGGCATACATACCTAAATTAACAATTGCAGACAACACATTCCAATGCACCTATAAAGCACGATGTTGACTTGTGCCATCTTGGCCCATCCTTGCATACCTCCATTGTGCTCTATATGGACAAGCTCATTTTCTGAACTCATTTTCTGATTTGTTTGGAGTAGATCTTCTGACTTTTGTGCAAAATTTTGCACGTTGGGATTTTTTTTTTTAATTTGGTGAATTAGTTGCATCTTACTTTTCAAACCATTCTTCTTGAACAGTTCTTTGGTGCATTCCTGAAATCAGGTTTCCATGCAGCAAACAATTTGGCCCCCCATTCAGAGTTTATCAGTCCCACTGTGTCTAAGGCAACCCACTACTGTACATTTATATAATGAACTCCATAAAAGGAGAACTCCGCCTTTGTTAAAAAAAATGATAGCATATATATTTGCTACAGAAACCATTTTGTAATTTCATATTTTTAAAAATGACCTTTCTATTTCAATCTGAAGCTGCTGTGATTTTCTAAAATTGTTAGAGGTGATTGTAGCCATATTAGTGCATTTCCGAAACAATTGAGTCCTGGGAGACCAGATATAGTGAATGCAGGGTCCTGGGTTTAGTAACACTTTAAGTATATAACCCTTAGGGAGTATCTCAACAAAAGTGAAAGTCCTATTGCAGAAGATGCTTAAAATGTCACTTATATTTTAGTACAGACATCAGAGAAAATGAGTGAGCCAATTACACAATCAGGAAAAGATATGGTGTACAGAACGCCTCCTGACTGCCATATTGCCTTGAATTTTTAACAATTTTAGACAGAAACAATTGAGTACTGTCCGTGATACTTTTTTTTTTTGCACAAACATACAATTTTGAGGACAAGCTTTCGGGAATGTCCCCTTCTTCAGGTCCAAGCAGTACTGAACACAAAGTTTAGCAGAATGTTAGAAGAGATGTAGGGGATGGAAAAAAAAAAAAGAAGATATACAATATACAGGAAACCCACTGACAGATGCAACTACCTCCACAGTTCTAGCTTCCACCCCCAACACACGAAACGTGCCATCATACACAGTCAGGCCATTAGATACCACCGAGTATGTTCTGACCCAAGAGACAGAGATAAACATCTCGGGACACTAGCAGACGCCTTCCATAAGAAAGGTTACAAGGACAAAACTATCAACACCAACATAAACACAGCCTTGAGAACCCGAAGGAAAATCTACTTCAGTACAAAGAGAAAAAAAACAAACAACCGTGTACCTCTAGTAACCACATACAACCCAGCACTAGAAGGGAATAAGAAAAATAATCTAAGATTTACAACCCATCATAACAGAGGATGGAACTCTGAAAGAAATATTCCAGCAACCCCCAATACTGGCCTTCAGACAACCCCCCAACCTCAGAAATAAACCAATCAGTAGGAAACTTCCTTCGGATCAAGTTGTCACAAATAATGGAAGCAAACCCTGCAATACAAAACGCTGCAAACGGTGCAACCAAATCAATCCATCAAACAGTGTCAGACACTCAAAAGGGATCTTCATTATCTCCGGATCATACAGCTGCACCTCTAGTAATGTTGTGTACCTTATCCAGTGCAGAAAATGTAGCAAAGGATCTTATGTTGGCGAAACAGGACAGACATTGCAAACAAGGATGAATTTGCAAAGACATACCATCAAGGAACATAAAGAAGATGACCTTTGCACACCTGTGGGACACCATTTCACACAACCAGACCATATTATGGAAGACCTCAATGTTTTAGTTCTTAAAGGAAATTTCAAATCCATTTAGGAAAGAAAAACTTTTGAACTAAGAATGATAATTCTATTTGACACAAGAGATAACGGCCTGAATTTGGACATGGGATTCCTCAACTCATTATCCAACAGTTTTATGACTATCAGCTCAAGCTTGACTGCCTCTGCTAGTGTTGTCTGCCCCCCCCCCCCCCAGACTTTGCTTTTGCTGTGTCTTATCCCTGTTCTCTTTTTTTCTTCCATCCCCTACATCTCTTCTAACATTCTGCTGAACCTTTGTGTTCAGTACTGCTTGGACCTGAAGAAGGGGACATTCCCCGAAAGCTTGTCCTCAAAATTGTATGTTAGTGCAAATAAAAAAAGTATCACAGACATTACTCAATTGTTTCTGTCTAAAATTGTTAAAAATTCAAGGCAATATGGCAATCAGGAGGCGTTCTGTACACCATATCTTTTCCTGATTGTGTAATTGGCTCACTCATTTTCTCTGATGTCTGTACTAAAATACAAGTGACATTTTAAGCATCTGCTGCAATAGGACTTTCACTTTTGTTGAGATACTCCCTAAGGGTTAAATACTTAAAGTGTTACTAAACCCAGGACCCTGCATTCACTATATCTGGTCTCCCACAGTACACACAACATGGAAATGCAATTATTTTAGTAAATAGAAACTGCTAAATACCTTTTCTCATCAGCAGTTAGAGCAGTCTTGTGACTTCTATCAGTGTTCAGCAGAGCACTGGTTAAAGCTTGTAGGAGGAGTTTTCATTCTCCCCTATGACCCTCTGTCTGGACAGTGCTGATTGACCCTGTGCTGATCACATGCACTGTTCCAAGAAAAAAAAACTCTCTAGCAATGCACACAAAACTGAGCATGTTCAGCTTTCCCCTAAGGCTCTGCTCTATCAGCACATGGCTTGGGGACAGTAGAAGAAGAGGAAGATCAGAGAAGACATGAGCAAACAGCCTTTGTACACAATGTGAAGGATTAACTCCTTAGGTTCAACAGTGTGTATAGCAAGCATACTTTACTGCATATACAGACGGATTTTACTGTTGTGGGTTTAGTAACACTTTAAAGAGAGAAGCAAACCCTGCAACTTTCCTCATCAGAACAGGTGGGGCATAAAACCGCAACTCAAACTCCTTTTACTGCCACTCAGTGGCCCGTGTGAACGAGCCTTAAGCTGGCCATAGATGTTTTGAGTCTCAGTCGGTTCAGCAGGGACCAACCCAGATTTGAACCATGTATGGGCAGCATTGATAGATAAACCTGGGTACAACCAGCCTGCTGGGTTTTACATGTGAATATTGCTAGCAGCTATTATAGCCGCTAAGGAAGAAGGGTTGGCCGCACACCGGAGGAATGATGAAATGTAGCAAAAGATTTATTGATCCATAACATACAAATAGCACCAGGACATATGCAGAGCTGTTAACGCGTTTCATGCGATGACGTGCTTAGTCATAACAAAAAGCGTTAACAGCTCTGCATATGTCCTGGTGCTATTTGTATGTTATGGATCAATAAATCTATTGCTACATTTCATCATTCCTCCGGTGTGCGACCAACCCTTCTTCCTTTGCATTACGTGTATGGTGGCAAGCCAGGCTCTGCACCTGTTTTGGTTTGATGTGGATCATCTGCCTGAGTGGTAATTCCTTTGTTCCTTATTATAGCCGCTAGCAGTAATCACTGTGTTCTCCTTTCAGGGATGGCTCCCCCTGCTGGCAGGAGGATTCCCCCATCAACACTGACTGTGTTGATGGGGGAATTGTCCAATTTTCTTTCCTGCAACCCATGGCTCTAGCAGAGAAAATCGCTTTGTCAATGGCTGGCTTTAAGCTACAGCAACACTGTGTTGACTGTGTTTGGCTTATTTAAACACAATGATCAATGATTTGGGGCGTATAAACAAACATATACTTCCCAAATAGGTCCTCTTACGTCTAATTGTTCTTGCGTTTTGACATGCATTTACTAACTTTAGAAGTGTTCAGAGTTTCTAATCTTCTTTTGAAGCACAACTTAAAGTGTTACTAAACCCACAACAGTAAAATCAGTCTGTATATGCAGTAAAGCATGCTTGTTATACCCACTGTGGAACCTAAGGGGTTAATCCTCTTCATTGTGTAAAAAGGATGTTTGATCCTGACTTCTTTGATCCTCCCCTTCCTCCAGTGTCTTATAAATATATCCTGATAGAACAGAGGCTCGAGGGGGAGAGCTGCACATGCTCCATTTGATGTGTATTGCTAGAGAGTTTTTTTTTTTCTTGGGAGAGTGCATGTGATCAGCACAGGACCAATCATAACTCTCCAGACAGAGGTCAGTGGTCCTGCATCCTCCTACAGGAGAATGAAAACTCCTCCGACAGCCTTTAACCAGTGCTCTGTTGGACACTGATAGAAGTCACAAGACTGCCACTGTCCAGACAGAGGGTCAGGGGTTAAGCAGCCTCATAGGACAGTCAGAGAAGAATGAAAACTCCTCTTATAAGCTTTAACCAGTGCTCAGTGGATACTGATAGAAGTCACAAGACTGCTATATACTGCTGATGAAAAAAGGTATTTAGCAGTTTATATTTACTAAAATAATTTCACTGTCATGTTCTGTGTACTGTGGGAGATCAGATATAGTGAATGCAGGGTCAGGGGTTTAGTAACACTAACTGAATGCACCTAAAACCAGCTAAACATATATTGTGAGTTATACAATTTAAAGTCATTACATACATCTAGAAATGCCCTCTGATCACATATTAAAAGAGGTCACTGCTAGACATGTCATTAGGATTCATTTGTGGATGAACATTTCATTTTTGGTCATTCAGATGACGTCATGCATCTGTTTCATTTGGATGACGTCTCACATGATGTGATAAAAGTTCAGGCCCATGGGGAAATGACTTCAATTTTTCAAATTTGGAAAATGAATGGATCCGAATTTCGTTCCAGAAATTTGCATGCACATGGTGCCATTTGCTATTGTCCAATCAGCTCATGCCATTCCTCTAGGTGGGTTGGATTAGCATCCAAAAATATAAAATCATTCCAATTCAAATCCATCCGGTTCTATAATATATTGAATATATAATAATCTTCTGGAAAAACTGCAAAACTTTTCGAATCCACTGGGACCAACGAATACATGAAATGAATGCTGAAGATATGAATTTTGAAAGCAAATCAAATTCCGAAAACGAACGAAAATGGCAAAACGAAATTCTTCAATGAGCAAATGCATCCGAAATGAAATGAAAATTTCTGGTGTGCCTATGTCTAGCCACTGCCAGTGTGAATGAGAGGGTACAGGGCCCTGACACATGAGAAATCCGTCATTGATTGCACACAAGAAAAGTATACCCACGGTACGCCTAAGGCCTGTGAATTTTGTACCACTAGCCCCTCCCTCTTAGATTGTAAGCTCCCAGGATCAGGCCCTCCTAACCCTCTTGTATTGAACTGCATTGTTGCTGTATTGTCTCCCGTCACATTTAACGCGCTGAGCAAACTGTTGGCGCTATATAAATCCTGTATAATAAATTGCCAAACATACATTGTTCTCACAGCACAGATTCCCATGATAATCATTATGGAACCTATAAGTGTTACTGTTCTGACCTCCTACCCTGAGAACATGCTCCGCAAAATCCATGAGAAATGACTTTTTTCTTAATTCTTCAGCAAAAAAAAACCACCACACTGAATAAAACAACAGTGACATCCGGTCTCACCACTGCTTGTGGTACATCTGGATTCATTTAATGGAGAAGAAACCAGTTAACCCCTGGCAGGAGAGAGGCAGCAATGTCCTAGGAGGCCAAGCAGTTTAGTTTGGGAGACAAGAAGTGTGGGAGAGATAAGAGGGACACATGGAATGCAGAGAGACAGAAAACAAAACTCTTCTGAAGGCGAGATTAGAGAGAAGAAACCCAGACATAGCCCTTGGACTGCAAAGGAGAGGGAAGAGGAGGGTGACACTTACCAGAAGAGATAAATGAAGAGCAGAGGAGAAAGTGAAGTCAGCCTTACATGGGCAGTGTGGAAAGAGGAGCTAGACATGACCTGCTTGTAAAAAGTCACAATCAGTAATTGGCACTTTTATGTTTGGGAAAGTCGTTTTCATTTTAAATCGGAACTAAATTCCATTGTGTGTGGATAAGCAATTGCCATAGCTTGCAAATATGCAGAGCACACTTACCTGTCGATGTGCCCTCCTCCAGCGGTGACAGGTCCAGCCTGCTGTCATTACGAAGCCTGATGCTGTCTTCTCTGACAGATCCCGTGATATACCTCTTTAGTCATTGGATGGCCAGTAAAGTTTATTACTTATATAGTGCCAGCAATTTTACGCAGCACTTTACATATGCATTGTACATTCACATCAGTCCCTAACCTTCAAGGGGTGTACAATCTAAAGTCTTTAACCACTTCAAGTCCAGACACTTTCACCCCCTTCCAGGGGCGGACTGACAACTTATGGGGCCCCGGGCAATAGGGGATCATGGGGCCTCTGTGTCCTTGCCCACACTCAAAAAAACCTATGAAAAAAGGTACCAAGGGCATCTCATGGGGCCCCCTACTGACCCCGGGCCCTCGGGCAGTGCCCGAGTTTCCAAATGATCAGTCTGCCCATGCCCCCTTCGTGTCCAGGCCAATTTTATTTATTTATTTCAGGTACTTATATAGCACCGTCAATTTACACAGCACTTTTACACATATATATTGTACATTCACATCAGTCCCTAACCCTCAGGGGGTGTACAATCTAAGTTCCCTAACTCACATTCATACATACACATATTAGGGCCAATTTAGACAGGATCCAATTAACCTACCAGCATGCCTTTGGAGTTTGGGAGGAAACCGGAGTACCCGTAGGAAACCCACACAGGCACAGGGAGAACATGCAAACTCCAGGCAGGTGGTGCCGTGGCTGGGATTCAAACCAATGACCCTAGTACTGCCAAGCGGAAGTGCTAACCATTTAGCCACTGCGCTGCCCACAATTTTCAGGTTTCAGTGCTATCACACTTTGAGTGGCAATTGCGCGGTCATACAACACTGTACCCATATGAAATTTTTAGCATTTTTTTTAGACAGATAAAACCTTATTTTGGTGGTATTTATTCACCACTGGGATTTTTTTTTTTTTGCTATATAAATTAAAAAGTCCAAACATTTTGAAAAAAAGTGTTTTTCTTATACAATTTTGCAAATAAATAATCTTTCTTCATACAGTAAAGGAAATACGTATTTGATCCCATGCTGATTTTGAATGTTTTCCCACTCACAAAGAAATTATCAGTCTAAAAATTGAATGGTAGGTGTATTGTAACACTGAGAGACAGAATACAACAAAAAATTCAAAAGAAAGGCGAACAGTGAGGAATCATCCCAGAACTACACGTGAGGTTGTTGTCAATGATCTCCAGGCAGCTGGGACCACAGTCACCAAGAAAACAATTGGTAACACACTACGCTGACAAGGATTGAAATCCTGCAGTGCCCACAAGGTCCCTCTGCTCAAGAAAGCACATGTCCAGGCCCATCTGAAGTTTGCCACTGAACATCTGAATGATGCAGAGGAGGACTTGTGGAAAGTGTTGTGGTCAGAAGAGACCAA